AGGTGTGTAGGCCTTTGGTGTGAGGGTTACGTTTATCTGAGTAGGAACTGTACTATCTTTATTGTTTCCTGTAGCTGCATGTGTCTGAGGTATAAATTTCCTTTAGTGTCCTTGTTTTTAATTTCTTTTTTGTCTTTGCGTTTCTCTAGAAACTCTTTTTAAAATAGAGTCTGAAACTTGCAGTTTTTCAGCTGTAATTCTCCATTATATACAGCATCCCTGTTGATGTCATTGTAAGATGTGGAGAAAAGAGAAGTGTTTTATAGTCCCATGATTAGGTAGCAATCTACTCAGCTTGCACCTCTTAGGCGAGACAAGAACATTAAAGAAGGTTAGAGTTGAATGTTTTCCTCTCTTCACTTCAGTCAGGCTCTTGTAAAGTAATTTCCTTTGAGCAAAAAGGGAGCCAGATGTTCTGGGCTTACATAACAGTGGTTATTTTTCTCCTCCCTCTGCCAGAAACAAGAGAGGGCTATTCCCGAGTGTTCACAATAAGGACTTGGTGGGGCTTCTGCAGGTAAAACACAAAAGTGTGAAGACACCCTGAGGTTGGGCACCCAAGAGTTTTAAACTCTCAAGTTGTCTTCATTGAGCCTTAGTAACTCATGAATTACTTGTTTTCATGGTCCTAAAATGCTGAGTTCATCTGTGGTCTTATAATCCTGGTCTTATAATCCTCCGTCCTCTCATTATGTGTTGCACCCCGTGTTGCCTTGGGATTCTACAGAGAGTCCCTGCCAGAAAGAAGCCTCTCAACAGATTTAGCCCCTCAAACTTGGACTTCTGAGCTTCTAGAACTGTAAGAAGCAAATTTTGTTCTTTATCAATTACCCAGTTTCAGTTATTCCTTTGTAAGCAACAGAAAATGGACTAAGATACAGATCTTACATGTTTTGTGAATATAACTCTTTGGAGACAAAATGGAGTGAAGGTAGAGCTGACATCTACATTTCTGCTCCTGTCATACTATAACTGCAAGTCCCAACAAGATGTCCTGGCATGATGTTTTAAGAGGATAGGAAATATCTTCTATTCCTGTCCAGCTTGATCTGTAAGCTCATTCCCCCTACTGACTCATGAAGGTAGGAATAAATACAGAATAAATGAAGGAGAAAAGACAACCTTTCCACTAGTCAAACTAGAATACAGATAACTAGGAAAGAACTGATATTTCTCTGAAAGAGGTACATGGCAAATGAAAGTAAATTATAAGGGTGAATAAAGACCCAATCAGGCTGAATTTGTGACCTAAGGTCCTTCAAAGATTGACCTGAATAAAAAAACCTAAGACAAGTTTTAAAATTGGAGTCCCATGTCTACATCAATTATAGCAAGGTACAACCAAACAGAAGAAAGGGATAAATATACACTAAAGAAGTTGGAAAATTGCTCTTCTTGCTTTTTAAAAAAGTATTGAGTTGGAATCTCACTCTGTTGCCCAGGCTGGAGTGCAGTGACACACTCATGGCCACCCCACGGCCACCCCAGCATCAGCCTGCTGGCCTCAGCCACCCCAGCATCGACCTGCTGGGCTCCGGCGATCCTTCCACCTCAGCCTTCCAAGTAGCCGGAACTAGAGGCATGCGCTGCCACGCCTGGCTAATTTTTAATTTATTGAAGAGACAATTTAGTTAGTTCCCAGGACTGAGAACAAACTGTAATCCTCTGTATTCACCTGTCACTCCCCTTTTCAGGGTGGCAGTTTGCCTTTTGACCTGAATTTTATGATGGATTTTAGAAGAGTTGTTTATTTTCAGTTTATTTCATTTTCTCCTTGATGAGAAGATGGGAAGGATAATATCAAACTTTACCTGTTAGAGTGGAAACCAGAAGTCTTGGTAAACATATTTTGAAACAGATATGGTAAGCAAAAAAAAGTGTCAACTTGGATACAGTGTTGCTACAGTGCCCTTCTTCAGGGAAGTTCAGGAAAGGGAGAGCTTTTATGCCTTTCTTCCTGCCTTTGCAAACATAAAGTTTGTTGTTGTTGTTGTCCGTTTTCTTTTTCTTTAGAAAGGGAATAAAGAACCAATTACCAAACTTTGGAATTTTGACATGAAAGTGAGTTAGCAGATGTTAGAATCTTTAAACCAGACATACTAACTCTGATACTTTGTGTTTTTAAAAACACCAGTATGCTTTCAACTTGCATATGTCACAGTGAAGAGGGAACTTTTTTTTTTTTTGAGTTGGAGTCTCACTCAGTCGCCCAGACTTGAGGGCAGTGGCCGCTCCCGGCCACTGCAACCTCGAGCCACTGGGCTCCAGCGATCCTTCCGCCACAGCCTTGCAAGTAGCTGAAACTACAGGCGCGCGCTACCACGCCCAGCTCATTTTGATTTATTGTAGAGATGGGGTCTTGCCAAGTGGCCCAGGCGGGTCTCGAACCCTCGGGCTCAGGCAATCCACTCACCTCAGCCTCCCAAGGCACAGGATTGCAGGCTGAGCCACCGAGCCCGGCTGGACCTTTTCTTTACATTATCACTATTATCTCCCTACTCCAGCTCTGTATCTCTTACTTCTATGGTGAGGGAGTGCTCAGTGCCAGTTCAAGTATTTCCCAGTTCTGCTCTCCTTCCACATGAAAAACCTTAATGTAGTCAGATTTTGATTAGGAAGTTTTGACGACCACTTCACTCAAGGCTGTAGGGTGTTTTCAAGCCCCTTGACATCCCAACCCTACAACCTCAGGCATCCCTTCCCTTGGACACCAGGATCCTTGGCTCTGGTCTTACTCCCCCTTCGCCACAAGTCTCCTGATTTCAGAATTCTCACGACAGTCCGCAAGGCCTTCTGTCACTTTGACAATAATGACAAAGTCATCTCAGAATTATAAATGTGCTAATCTGGATTATAAATAACTCTTTAATTCCTGGTGTCACGTTTCCCGGAATCAAGAGGAAAATGTTCATACTCCATTGAACAATCCTTCTCCCATACTCTGCTACAAATGGTCCAGAACCCAACCCCCCATTCTGACATTATTTCCTTCCTGCCCCACCTCCAGCCCGATCAAAGTTTTCCTAGCAAGATCTACTCCTCAATATATCCCTCATTCCTTCTGTGTCCTGACTAATTTGGCAGAAGGAGTTCATCCTCAAAACCTTGCCATTTAATTCACAAATGGAAATGTGAAAGTTCAATAGGTATGTAAAGAGCTGCTCAAATTCACTAGTAATCAGAGAAGTGAAAATTAAAAGAACACAGCTATCACCTTAGACACATAAAATTGGCAGACATTTGAAGGTTGCTAGCATGAAGTGTGAAGAAGAATATGAGGAAAATGGGAATCCTTCTACACAAAAGAACATAAATCTGGTAGTACTGAGTGAAAGTAAGTTCACATGGGCTCTGTCCCTCAGCCAATCCCATTCCCAATATATATCCCAACAAAGTTCTCCTACTAACCTACAGGGAATGTCTAGGAAAGTATTCCTCACATTCATGTTTCTAGTAACCAAGGGTAGGCGGTAACCAAGTGTCCTATACCGGCAGAACTGGTAGGATGGTCTTAGGTTGGATTTCTCTAAAACCAGGTTGGAAAACAAGGATTCACATTCAAGCAGATTATTGGGGTGTGATTAAAGGAAGCACCAGTGCAGGAGTGGCAGAGAGAGACCAGAGCAGTTTGAGAATCAACAAAGTGTGCATTATTGGCAGGTTATGGACAAAGGTAGCATAATCCCTCTAGACAACGCCAGGAGTCAGTGTTGTACATGCCTAAGAGTAATCTCACCTGAGCAGGTAGAACATGAGACTATTTAGGCTCCAACTCCCATCATCCTGGGCTGAGTGGTGGTCCCAGTGGTCCCAAGGGCATTAAATTGCAGTTTCATCTACCTGTCCATCCTGTAGAGTGTCCTAGCTTCGTGCAGCAGGGCATCAGAGGAAGGTACTAGAAGAGTAGGTGCCTAAGGCATAGCACAGGGCAACAATTATGTCATGAAGACCACAGATCTCACTCTCATGTAGAACCTAAAAAAATGGATCTCACAGAAATTCAGAGTGGAATAGTGGTTCCCAGACACTGAAGAGGATAGCGGGGAGGGGGAGATAGGCAGAGGTTGGTCAACAGGTACAATGTTACAGTTAGATAGAAGGAATAAGTTCTAGTACTCTATTGTCCAGTTGACTGTAGCTAACAATAATGCATTGCAAATTTCAAATAACTAGAAGAAAGGATTTTGAGTGTTTTCACAACTAAGAAATAATAAATGTTTAAGGTGACGGATATGCTAATGACCGTGATTTTATCACTGCACAATGCATACTTGTATCAGAACACCACATTGCACTCCATAAATATGTACAATTATCATGTATCAATAAAACATTAATATTTATATATGTGTGTGTATATATACAATAATATACATGGTGTGTGTGTAGAAGGTGCTTAAGAAACACCAAAAGTTATAGACCAATATCATTTTAGTGGATCAAAAAAGTAACCAGAAACAAAACCATATGACATATGTAATACTCATACTACATGCATACTTATTTCAGACACATTACAAGGTGCTTTTGGGTAGAGAGGTAAATGGGAGTAAGGATGAGAGGTGTTAGATAAACAAAAACAGAGAGGCCTTATAGGAATTGATGAAGAAAGTGTACCATAACCTGGGAGTGGGATTAAAACTACCCATCTTGCTTTTCTGCCGTTTTTTTAAAAATTGGATCTACTTTTCTTGGACCTGGTCTAACCTCTCACCTTCCACATAGCATAAAGTTTGGTGTCAGGCTCCCAAAGAGCAGGAACTGGGTGAAATACCAGGGCATACCCCCTCCCAGCCTGTGGTATGGGGGTCTTCAAATAATAGAACTTTCCTCACTTTTTCTGTGAAAGAGATTTGATTAAGAGTTATACAGGGGCCTTGCAACTACATTTCCCAGAGATCCCTGGGATGGTTCTAACCAGAATCTGGGGGCAGGGCCATTTGGAAAGCCAAAGAGAACACTTCCTCTACTGCAGACTTTGGGACTGAAAGTACTTTTCAGCCGACTTTGGTTGTGAACGAATTGCATTCAGCCTGGTTCTTGGTTGCTGGCCGAAGAAGAGTTGAGATCTGTAAGTAACATGCAGTGTACTTTTAAAAAAATGGTGTTTAATCCTATCTCAAATGTGAGTACAAGAGAGTAGATTGTACATTATACCTGAATTTCAAGTTCAGAAAGTTTGGCTGCCACATACTTGGAATCGAATGCTGCAGAATAATGTTGACTATAACAGACGCTTGATTCAAACCATCTGTGTTTGAGGTTCACAGCCACACCACTTTGTAGCTGTGAAAACTTTGCCAAGTTATTTCGCATCTCTAAAACTGTTTCTCCTTCAGTAAAATGGAAATAACAATACTGCTTACTTAAAGAGGTTGTGTGAAGGTTAAATATGTGTATTAAAAGATAGCTTATGTGTTTAAGGGAACTTCTCTAACTGGATTTTCCTGTTGGATACTTGTTACAGTGGTGTCCACACCCTCCTCTGTCTCCAATGAGGTGTATCTCAAGGGGTGCAGTTAATTCTGTAAACAGCAAGCTCCTAACGATTCCTGCTCTTCTTGTGTTCGCTGCATAGAAAACCCCTAAGATTCCAGATGTCTAGGGAGATTGAATTATGTTGTCTGCAACATCTAGCGGAATTCCTGGGGGAAGATTTATCATGTTGGAAGGAGGCTTAGTGGAGAGAGTCTCCAGGAGCCATAAATGACAAGAAATTAACTCCCTCACTCTCAGCCAAACAGAGAGCGTCACCCCCTGAACATGGACTTGTAGATCCACAGGAGAGAGGGGCCTGCCTGGGCAAACAGTTCCAGGAGCTAGGGGTGCGATGTGCACTCTGCTCTGGGCTCTGCTCCAGTGTTCTGGCATGATACCAGAACAACAGTAAGCCTGTTTGCCATTCTGATGAGCTGCTCCCTCTCTTCCCTAGGCTCCTCCCTTTAGTATCTTGAACACAAAACAACTGACACCACCCGCTCCCCTAAAAGGAACTTTGTAACTGCCAACTCCCTAGCTGCATGCTGCCCAGAGACTTATTTTGTCTGGTCTTTATGGTCTTCAGCTGTAGCAGCTGTCTTCCTTTAGATTTGCTTTCCTGGCCTGCTGCAAGTGTCCCACACCACCCATCTGGTCACCAGAGGCATTTAGTGGGAGAGTGGGAGCCATGGCTGGGATGAAGACCTTCTGGACACTAAGGATGGTTGAGTGATGGTCTTTTGTGTGACTAGCCCAGAAAACTTTCTTCCATCCAGAAAGCCAAAGGGTTGGCTTGGGAAAGGGCTGGGTTGTCGTGTTAACCTAGTGAGATGCTAGGCCTTTCCTTCACTGTGGCAAAAACAAAAGAGATAGGGAGGCATAGGAAAATAAATTAATTAAAAAAAAAAACACTCAGAAAAAGACAAGATGCCAGGCACCTATAATCCCAGCGCTTTGGGAGGCCAAGGTGAGAGGATTGCCTGAGCCCAGGGGTTCAAGACCAACCTGGGCAACCTGACGAGACCTCATCTCTATGGTAAATCAAAAAACTTAACCAGGCATGGTGGCGCACGCCTGAGTAGTTCCAGCTACTTAGAAGGCTGAGGTGGAAGGATCACCTGAGACCAGCAGGTTGAGGCTGCAGTGGCCGTGAGCATGCCTGTGTGACAGAGTGAGACCTTGACTCAAAAAAATTAGCTCTCTTTATAATTATTCTACTCATTAATGCCAGAAATCCATGCAGTAAGTGTAGAAGATTTCATCTCTGTCCATAATCATACTTGTGCTGCTTGTAGCCAAGGCATGATGGGCAGGATAGCTCTGGATCAATCTGCTTTTAATTCTTCTACATTGGTCTCTTGCTTACAACTTCTTCTGGGGAAAAAAAAAGAGTTTCTTTAGCCAAAAATAAATTGAAAACCACGGCTATACATAAAATATGGATAGATCTCAGAGACCAGGGAATGAACAATGAGTTCTGCATATCAACCTGCTCTCCAAGGGTACATCCAAGAGTGTGATTTATGATTGAAGTGCCATGTCACTTAGGGAAAAATCACAACAGATGGTTAACTAAATCTTCAACAAAACAGCAAACATTCATGTAATCAACCAGAAATAAAAGCAAGTTTTTCCCTGGCATTCTAGCCCCACTGCTTCATTCAGTGTTTCTTACCTTTCTTTTACACAGTTCTCCAAAATGACCATCCTGGTGACTTAGGCAGGTTCCCTAAAACCAGACACGGAGACAAGGATCCATGTGCCAATGATTTGAGGAAGTGCCGAGAGAAACCTATCTGCAGCCTGTATGTAAATTGAAACTCCAAATTGGGTCCATACACAAGGCTGGGCTTTCTAAACCTCCTCCCAATAAGTCATTGACCCAAGGCTTTCCTGGCAGAACATAAGTCTCTGACACATCCAGCTCTCTGCATAGGCGGGCAGAGCAGCTCCAGGAGTCCTTGGAAAGTCCTCCAAAGGGAAACTGGGGTACAGGTCCTAAAATATAGGAACACAGTAGCCAGGCCAGAGAAACAATAAAATGATAAAAGATGTAGGTGGCTTACTAAAAATGTTCTTCCCACACTCAGTCCTGAAGCCTCACTGGACACATGTGCCCTCTTAGGCACACTAAGCATGCTCTATTTTTACCCTTCTATATCTATGGTGGAAAACAATAGGTCCAATGGATTTCATTTAAGTTAAGCCATCTATTTTTAAAACTTGTGTTTTTGTTACTTTAAACAGGAAATACACTCTCCAATTCCTTTCAGGTTCTACCCCTCCCTATTTTATTACACATAGATGCTTTCTGTTTTACATTTCAATAATTTAACCAGAACATGTTCTGCTAAAAATCTTTTTTTTTTTTTTTTTTTTTGAGTGGGAGTCTCACTCCGTCGCCCAGGCTAGAGTGCAGTGGCACACTCATGGCCACCCTAGCCTCAACCTGCTGGAATCAGGTGATCCTTTCATGTCAGCCTTCCAAGTAGATGGAACTATAGGTGCACGCTACCACACCCCGCTAATTTTTTTATTGATTGTAGAGACGCAGTCTCACCAAGTTGCCCAGGCTGGTCTTGAACCTCTGGACTCAGGCAGTCCTCTTTCCTCAGCCTCCCAAAGTGCCGGAATTACAGGCATGAGCCACCACGCCTGGCCTAAAAATCTTTTAATTTGAAATCCATTAGCCATGACAGCTCCAGTGCTTTGGGCTACCAATGTAAATAATAAAATGAACACAGACTTTACCAGTCAGAAACTGCCAACTAACATCTAACTCTAACCTCTAACTAGGGACTCTCCACTCTAACCAATCAAATATATATTTTTTTGTCTTACTTCTACGAATATTTTAAAGAAGTTTCTCTCTCATACTCCACTGTTCCCCAGTAGAGCATTGAACTACTTGGAGCTGGTGCTGATTTATGAACTACTGTCTACTCAAGTAAACTTTCCAAAATTTTAATGTAGCTAAGTTTATCTTTAAAAATTCTAGTGTTGACAATGCAGGTCACATTTTCCTTGAATCTGGTCTATATTGATCTTTAGATTTATTATTATTATTATTATTATTTGAGTTAGAGTCTCACTCTGTCGCCCAGACTAGAGTGCAGTGGCCGCTCCTGGCCACCGCAGCCTCGACCTGCTGGGCTCCGGTGATCCTTCCGCCTCAGCCTTCCAAGTAGCTGGAGCTACAGGCGTGCGCTACCATGCCTGGCTAATTTTTTATTTATTGTAAAGATGAGGACTTGCCAAGTTGCCCAGGCGGGTCTCAAACCCGCGGGCTCAGGCAATCCATTCACCTCGGCCTCCCATAGCGGTGGGATTACAGACTGAGCCACCGAGCCCAGCCAGATTTAATTTTTAACTTCATATTTCCTTCTCCGTATATGTCAAAATGGCTTATTCAGTAGCCATCATTCTCATAACTTTCTACTCTTTGTTTGTACTGAGAGGAGTCAGGGCTTACCAACACTCCTTTAGTGTGGCTTCTCTACTTCTTAGTTTTCATTTTAATTTACTTCTCCACTGGGCAATGAAGCAAAAACTCTTTATCGAGATAGTGCAGTGTTGTTGCATTTCTTAAGCTCTTTTATGATTGAGGTTATCTTTATATTCAAGTTGCCTTTATGATAAAATAGAGTAGTAGTCAGAATAATATGTGGTGATAACATTTTTCTTCAGTCCTTGAAAGTCATAGTTCCACTACCCCACTTATAGATATTTCTGTGGAACATTCTGTTGCTACCCTTCTATTTTATCTTTCACACAGAATTTTCTTTTTCCACCAGATAGTTTGTCTCTCATTTTGAGTTTTAATAATTTAATAAGATATATTCTTTCTTATTATGTATTTTTTACATTTTTTATTTTAAAGATGTAGGATACAATTCAGGATTAGGTATACAAGTGGACATCATACAGGTAAAGTTTGGGCCTCCCTTTGGTCCCCACTTTGCCTGGTTTGAGGTCAGGTACCCTTATTGATGTTGTGTCCCCACCCCCACTCAGGTAGTATCCTGCTACTGCCAATCCCTTTCTTACAGGATTATGGTACATGTTCAGGGTCTGTTTATGAGTGAGAGCATATGAAACTCTGTTCTTTGTTTCTGTGATAGATCACTGAGTATGATAGACTCTAAATCCAACCAAGTTGCTGTGAAGTCCATATATTTGTCCTTTACAGCTTCATAATACTCCATTGTGTATATGCACCACATTTGTTTTATCTGTCCAGTTCTGATGGACAGCACAGTTGGTTCCATGTGTTTGCTATTGTCAATAGTGCCGCAATAAACATGCATGTGCAGGCATCCTTTTTGTAGAATGATTTCAGTTCCTCTGGGTGTATTTCCAGTAGGGGGATTGCTGGGTCATATGGAAGGTCTGTCTAGTTCTTTTAGAAATGGTCACACTGCTTTCCATAGAGGTTGAACTAGTTTGCATGCCCACCAGCAGCGTAGAAGCATTCCCTTTTCTCCACATCCTCACTAGCATCTGTTGTTGTTTGTTTTATTAATGATGGCCATTCTTACTGGGGTTGGGTGGTATCTCAATGTGGTTCTGATTTGCATTTCTCTGATGATTAGT